CAAAACTCTTGAGACTCTGTTGCCTCCATTTGCTGTGTGTGTGTGTGTGTGTGTGTGTGTGTGTGTGTGTGTGTGTGTGTGTGTGTGTGTGTGTGTGTGTGTTCTTGTAATCATCACGTTGTGGGGACTGAAATCTGTTAACACAGTCACGCCATGGGGACCTGTTTCCTTAGGAGGACCAAAAACCAGGTCCCCATAAGGAAAACCATTTAGATGAATGGGGGAGCTGTTTAGAAGGTGCTGGGCAAAGTTTCAGAGATGGCCCTAAAGTGATGTTTAATGTGTGTGAAGAGGTTGCTCATTGGCGCCCCTGGTGGTAATGACTGGTAAGACACATTGGTTTCCACACACACTTTGCATATATAATTTGGTACCGCCCACTTCTTGGTCCCCAAGAGTTATGATCTTGGAATTGAGTGTTTTCAGCTTCTTTAAAATGCAACAGACTGGAAAGCACAATTTTGTATAATTTTAGAACAAATATTGTATATATGCAAGTTATTTAATAGCAACCAAGTTAGTGCTTATTAACTAATGTGGCCTGAATTGTATTATTATTATTATTATAATGTGATGAATATATTAGAGTGAATAGTATTTTTTTTAATATATTTTTTGTACTATTACTGAGGCTATAAAGGCTAAATATAGCACAGTGTGCATTTCCATAATTACAATAATTTTTAAAAGTATTAGCTATTCCATGGTCAGGGTTAATATGGAGGGCGTGGCAGAAAGAGAAAGAGAGAGAGGGAGGATGAAGTAGATGCTATCCCTGGAAGAAGCCACACAATCCAAGGGGAGACAGGTGAGTGTGGATTTAATACAGACTAAACAGGGGGGTTAAACACCCAAAAGACTCAGCTGTGGCTTTAATGTACAAACTAATGCAACTAGTCCGCGCTAGCATCTGCAACTAGTCCGCGCTAGCATTAGCAGCTAGTCCGCGCTAGCATTAGTAGCTAGTCCGAGCTAGCATTTGCAGCTAGTTCCCCCTTGCATTAGCAGCTAGTCCGCGCTAGCATTAGCAGCTAGTCCGCGCTAGCATTAGTAGCTAGTCCGAGCTAGCATTTGCAGCTAGTTCCCCCTTGCATTAGCAGCTAGTCCGCGCTAGCATTAGCAGCTAGTCCGCGCTAGCATTAGCAGCTAGTCCGCGCTAGCATTAGCAGCTAGTCCGCGCTAGCATTAGCAGCTAGTCCGCGCTAGCACTGGCTACTTGCTTGGACGGCAGATTCTACCAAACAGCACGTGGGTCAATGTTCCCTTCTAATATCACATTCAGCTAGCTAACAGATGTCTTCTCGGTAAACGTGTGGTGACTGAATTATATAATTAGAGCTTCCTATGTACTAGAAGAAGCCTATATGTGAACTTTAATGTAAGTGAATAGAGCTAGCCTATTAGCGCCAATTATTGCTAACAGGCCAATGTCAGAGTAAACAGGCTGAAGAATCTGAGTACTCTTTGATGGTAGCTAAACTAAAGACTGCATCTGTTCAATGCTCATGCAAAACGTATCAACCGTGTAATAAGTACATATTCAGTGATTTACTTTGCATAGTTTCCCTTTTGAAGCGAGATTAGCTAAGATTTTAGTATACAACCTGTTAGCATTAGCAACTAGCTCGAATGGCAATCAACTCGTGTGAGGTACTTTCAAGTAGCAGCTAAAGTTTTCTCAGTACACATGCAGGGACTGAATTATATATTTAAAACTTCCTATTAAAATAGTAGTAGCCTATACTTACTAACAAGTAGTTGGCAGTTAAGTTTTATTTTAAGAATGAAGTGGGTCAAATGGCAGAGATATTTAATTTCTACAAGTAGAAGGTAAAAAGAAAAGCTACTGAAGTACTGGATGAATATATTACCTGAGTACTGACTAACTGTTGAGTGTAAAAGTTTGGCTTCTAATTATGTATTATTAAAGTATATTAGATATAGAGGACATTTGGATGGAAACAGCTGTATCATAACAGATTAGATAAATAAAAAAATAGTACAATTGTCTCAGAAAGTTATTAAAGTTGGAGAAATCAATAGCTATAATGTAATATTAGTGAAATCAAAATAATTCATTTTGTTGTTTCAGTTTTTGAAGATTTAAATGGCACCACGAATTAGCCCAGAAAAAGATGCCTTGCATCATGTCATTAACAAGTGTGACAAAACCAAATTGGATATAAAGTTCATTGATGCAGTAAAAGGTATGTCTATTGTCAGTTGTCATTTTCTTTATGAAAAATACTCAAAGTTTTCTTTATTTACAGGACGGGGTCTATTCGCATTAGGCCCTTTTGCCAAAGGAGAATTTGTTGCACAGTATCGAGGAGATTTCATTGATTGCAAAGAACTGGAAAGGCGGAAGAGAGTCTACCATCCATCCTGTGCAGTTTTCCTGTTCGAATTTAAGTGGAGAGGAAAAACATGGTGGTGAGAATTCACACTACAAACATTTCGCACAAAAAACCTAATTGCAATTTTTCAGACAGAAATTGTAATTGCAATCCTTTTTATACAAGGATGCACAATACCATACTGCTATCAGGCTCAAGATATTTTTAAAGATTTATTAGATATGACGGTGAAATAAGAATGGATTTATTTTATTTTTATTTATTTATTTATTTAAGCAGGGACAGTACATATTAATGTTAATATTTGCCCACAAAAGAATGCAGGGGGGCTGATTCAAGCCAATAAGATCCTGGTTTAGACCTGTTTACGCTCTATTCAGTCCTCCTCACAGCTTTATGATTTAGGAGTTGACATAGAGGATGACTTTAGGAGTTTCTTAAGTAAGCGCTCATGTTTTGAGTGCGCCGTTGGTGGCTGCATTGTTCTCGCATCCGCGCTCTCCGCTCATGTGGAGTCTCACGTGCACGTTTGCTCGCATGTGTCAGCCACCGCACTGCTTGTTCTAAACCAGGGGTGTCAAACTCATTTTGGCCCGGGGGCCAAATACAACCTAATTGGATCTCAACTGGGCCGGACCAGAAGATGTTCAACAAAAATACCCCAAAAAATAAATTACTAAGTCCAACTTTTTGTGCACATAAACACATGTAATTAAAAACATCCTCTAAAACACTGTCCTTTAATACTCGCACAGTTTTAACAATAAATCTGTTACAAATGTAAATGTAACAGTGAGTTTTTTATACTGCAAATAATGTAAAGGCATTAAACTATATTTATATTAATATTTGTTTGTTAGCTTTGTTTTATAGCTCATTACAGAGAAAACTTGCTCACAAAGGTAAAGTAGGTAGATAGAAAAAAGCACTTAAACACAGCACCTCAGCTTAACCATCTTCAGTGTGGTTAGGTCCATGATGGCTTTGTCACAACACCTGCCTTTAACTCTCACTTTGCGGCTGCAATGCTATTGCTATGTTGTTAGCACTCAGGTAGCTTGTCATTGCCGCAGCATCACTGACCTCTCGCTGTGGGCACAAACCGGTAGATCCATGGCACAAACAGACTGGTGTTTCCTCAGGGCTGGACATATTTATCTTCTCAATTCTCCGCTCAAAGTGCTGTATTTTTGGCTGAGTCAGTCACAGAACGCGCTCTGGTGGAGCCACTACAGACGCACTCGACTTGCTGCTGGCTGTGGCGCGGATGTTTAAAATGTTTTCATTAGTATTATTATATTTTTACAAAAGTGAGCCGCGGGCTGTGTCAAATCTCTTGGCTGGACGCATGAACGATACCCCTGTTCTAAACCAAGTCTAAAACAGTCTTGCGTGTGTCAAACATCACACGTGACGACTCCCCTTGCAAAGTGGTTGAGCAGAAGCTGTGGCGCATCACACAGGTGCCCGGGTGGGGGCTAGTATCGGTTCCTGGTATTGGGTCATATTATCGAGTAAGAGTACTGATGCCAGTATCGGCGCCTATGTCAGTATTGGTGCATCCCTAGCTACAATAGGAATGTCAATTCTATTGACATCCATTTGCTAGGGATACAATCCCTAGCAAATATAATTTTGCCCTTTATAACCAATATTATTGTATTATTGTCCCAGCTCTCGTATTGTCAGCAAAATATACTTCTAAAGCGAAAAACAAATCTCAGTCTTTGGGGTTTGATAATTGTAGTATTTAAAATTGCGATGCCAATTGGATATTGATTAATTGTGCAAGCCCAGTATTGTAGGCTGTGCAAAAGTAAACAAACTGGATACAATTGGCTGTCTCTGTATTATATGATTTTAATTTATTATTTATTTATATATATATATATATATATATATATCATATATATTATTTAAGTTTTGAGTATGTAAGCATGGGGATTGTAGCACAATATACTGTATGTACTATATTTGTGTTTAAAGCCTTTTCTATATTTTCAGCATTGATGCATCAGTAGAAGATGGCACATTTGGGCGTATCGTTAATGATGACCACATCCACCCAAATTGTAAGATGAAAAGAATTGACTTCGAGGGGAAGCCACACTTGTGCCTGTTTACATTACGTGACATAAAAGAAGGAGAAGAACTCACATATGATTATGGAGGGGATGACTGCCCATGGAGAGAAAAAGTAAGTTGTAAACCCACGATTAAAATAATTGCTTATTGCTAACCTAATACGAAAAGTGCCCTTCAGATACTGCTGTTGACTTGAATTTTGTTTGAAACTTCGTTTTATTGGTCCCCATCAAGAATGAATGGAAGTGTGTGAAATGGCTTCCTCTGGTGGTTCAATTGATTTTAAATTGTTTGAATGTTTTAGTAATGGCTTTGAGCTAGGAGTTTTCTGCTGTAGACATGGCTTTAGGTAGACTTCAGGGAGACTAGTTTAGACCTTTATAGATCTCACAGTGGACATGTTTGTAAAGTTTATCTCATCTTATTTAATGGTGATCCAGAACTATATTTCAGTATTTTAAAACATAGGGCTTGTTCTGAAAATTGGGAGCACTGTTTTAGACTTTTAGATTATTAAAGTGTTCTATTGTAAATTCTTACACCTTCTGTCTCCCACAGATGACCCACGTGACAGCAGATGGTACTACTACACGTTTTCTAGAGCACCCTGACCAGCCTCAGTCCCACATGAATACCTCATTTGGAAACGATGCCTCTCAGAAACAGGTAGGATCACATTTATCAATAATGACAACGTTTTTTGTCTTCAAATGTTAAAAATCTTTCTCAAATGTTTCTTTCAAATGAACCGTTACGATGTCCCATAATACACTTTGAGTGACTTCTGTTGGGTTTAATCATGTGTGAAAGTCCTTAGAATTGGTCCCCATAAAGAAGGAACAGAGATGGGTGTGAAAAGGTCCTCATGAGACTTGTCCCCGACCCTAGATGTGTGTGTGTGCAAACAAGTTGGTTTTACATCGGTCAAACTATGATGTGTGTACAGCTGGTAGTACTTGGGCCTCCTTGGGTGGTTCTATTGACTTTAATTTGTGATCACGGTTTAAGATCCTGACTATTTTAGTGTTCTATTGTAAAGTCTTAACTTCTGTCTCCCACAGATGACCCACGTGACAGCAGATGGTACTACTACAGGTTTTCTAGAGCAGTCTGACAAGCCTCAGTCCCACATGAATACCTCATTTGGAAACGATTCCTCTCAGAAACAGGTAGGATTACATTTATCAATCATGACAAAATACCAAAATGTCTTGTTAGTTCTGAGAAAGTTTTTTTTCACATTTAAAGACAATTATTTGAGGTTTTGTTATGTGTACCTCAATAAACTATATCCAGTATGTGGATTAGTGGAAGGAGAATAATTTGAGCCTTTTTTGGTCATGGCAGACAAGGACTTTTTACTCAAATGTTTCTTTCAAATGAACCGTTACGATGTCCCCATAATACACTTTGAGTGACTTCTGTTGGGTTTAATCATGTGTGAAAGTCCATAGAATTGGTCCCCATAAAGAAGGAACAGAGAGGGGTGTGAAAAGGTCCTCATGAGACTTGTCCCCGACCCTAGATGTGTGTGTGTGCAAACAAGTTGGTTTTACATCGGTCAAACTATGATGTGTGTACAGCTGGTAGTACTTGGGCCTCCTTGGGTGGTTCTATTGACTTTAATTTGTGATCACGGTTTAAGATCCTGACTATTTTAGTGTTCTATTGTAAAAGTCTTATCTTCTGTCTCCCACAGATGACCCACGTGACAGCAGATGGTACTACTACAGGTTTTCTAGAGCAGTGTGACAAGCCCCAGTCCCACATGAATACCTCATTTGGAAACGATTCCTCTCAGAAACAGGTAGGATCACATTTATCAATCATGACAAAATACCAAAATGTCTTGTTAGTTCTGAGAAAGTTTTTTTTCACATTTTAAAGACAATTATTTGAGGTTTTGTTATGTGTACCTCAATAAACTATATCCAGTATGTGGATTAGTGGAAGGAGAATAATTTGAGGCGTTTTTGGTCATGGCAGACAAGGACTTTTTACTCTAATGTTTCTTTCAAATGAACCGTTACAATGTCCCCATAATACACTTTGAGTGACTTCTGTTGGGTTTAATCATGTGTGAAAGTCCATAGAAATTGGTCCCCATAAAGAAGGAATGGTGAGGGGTGTGAAAAGGTCCTCATGAGACTTGTCCCCGACCCTAGATGTGTGTGTGTGCAAACAAGTTGGTTTTACATCGGTCAAACTATGATGTGTGTACAGCTGGTAGTACTTGGGCCTCCTTGGGTGGTTCTATTGACTTTAATTTGTGATCACGGTTTAAGATCCTGACTATTTTAGTGTTCTATTGTAAAGTCTTATCTTCTGTCTCCCACAGATGACCCACGTGACAGCAGATGGTACTACTACAGGTTTTCTAGAGCAGTCTGACAAGCCTCAGTCCCACATGAATACCTCATTTGGAAACGATTCCTCTCAGAAACAGGTAGGATCACATTTATCAATCATGACAAAATACCAAAATGTCTTGTTAGTTCTGAGAGTTTTTTTCACATTTAAAGACAATTATTTGAGGTTTTGTTATGTGTACCTCAATAAACTATATCCAGTATGTGGATTAGTGGAAGGAGAATAATTTTAGCCTTTTTTGCTCATGGCAGACAAGGACTTTTTCACATTTATCAATAATGACAACGTTTTTTGTCTTCAAATGTTACAAATCTTTCTCAAATGTTTCTTTCAAATGAACCGTTACGATGTCCCATAATACACTTTGAGTGACTTCTGTTGGGTTTAATCATGTGTGAAAGTCCTTAGAATTGGTCCCCATAAAGAAGGAACAGAGATGGGTGTGAAAAGGTCCTCATGAGACTTGTCCCTGACCCTAGATGTGTGTGTGTGCAAACAAGCTGTTTGTCAATAAATATTAAAAATCTTTCTTTTAACTGACAATTATATGAGTCATTAAAGTACTACTTCAGTAAGTGGGATAGTGGAAGGAGAATATTGTCTTTCTTTGGTCAGTGACTGCAGTTGAGTTGAATCGTGTGAAAGTCTATTGAATTTGTCCCCATAAAGAAGGAATGGTGAGGGGTGTGAAAAGGTCCTCATGAGACTTGTCCCTGACCCTAGATGTGTGTTAGTTTGCAGGTTTTTTTTGTGTTGTCTGTTTATAATAGTTTTTTATCTACAGATTCTTACACAGCCCACATGGGAAGTTGATTCTGTACCAAAACTGAGGAGGACAAAAAGTATCATAGTAAGTGACATTTACCTATGAACATTGACCTATGAACACATCCAATGAAGTTGGATATGTGCCAATTCGTTTATTTTGTAATTATTTCTATTTCTCTGCATTGCATTCAGATTGTTTTTGTTTACTTTTTTAGTATTTTTAGTTATTCACATGTTTTTCTTTTCTTGTTTTATTCAGATGAAAGACACAAATCATTTCGACTCTGATGAGTTATATGATTCTACAACAGACAGTTCAGACAACTATGTCCCAGATACCACATCTGGTTCAGAAAGCGACAGTGATCTTCCTTTATCACGAAACAAATTGAGAAGCAAATTTTATGATGAACTCAATCTTGATTATCCTGACCCTGCAAACAATCTTGAATGTGACTCCACAACTTTGGACAATATGCCAAGTCTTTCAGCTGAAACATCTGCTGGCGTTGAACCCAATTCAAGTCAGGCCACTACAGATATTGTTGTTAAGGCATACAACAAAAAGGGTGTACGAAGAATATATGACAAAAGACATTATTGCTTTTACTGCTCCAAGCCTTATGCAAAAATGGCAAGGCATCTAGAAAAATCACATGTGGATAAATCTGACGTGGCTCGTGCTGTAAGCTTTCCAAAGGGATCCAAAGAGAGAAAATACCAACTTGATTATATTCGCAATAGAGGAAACTATGCTCACAATGCTGCTGTCATGGAATCTGGATCAGGAGAACTAGTCCCATTCAAACGGCCGCAGAAAAACTTGCAAGGTGAAGATTTCATGCATTGTGCATACTGTCAAGGACTCTTTACAAGAAAGGTACTGTGGAGACACATCCGTAATTGTAGGCTTAAACCACAGTCCGTTCGTCCTAAACCAGGAAAAAACCGTGTCCAGGCCATGTGTACCTACACTGGGCCTGTGCCTTTAAACATGACCAAACAACTGTGGGAAGTTATCAGTGTCATGAATCCTGGTCCAATTACGGACATAATAAAAAATGACGGTGTAATTACTGAAATTGGACAGCACTTGTTGAATAAAGGTGGACTTTCAGACAAGAACAAACAGTGCGTGCGAGAGAAGATGCGAGAATTGGGAAGGTTGGTTCACAATGCCAGAAAAGTCACATCTTTGAATACACTTGAAGACTGTGTAAATCCAAAGAAGTACATTGAGATTGTGAAAGCTGTCAAGTATACATGTGGCTATGACAGTGAAAATGACAAGTTCGCAATCCCATCCCTTGCTAATAAGCTTGGAAATTCCTTAGTTAAAGTGAGTAGACTCTTAAAAGCACAAGGTTTAATCTTGAATGACCAGCAGCGTGTGAAGAATGCAAGTGAATTTCTAGAAGTACATCAGAACAAGTGGAACGAGCTTGTTTCGGCTACTGCATTAAGGAACATCAGAGAAGCCCATTGGAATGTCCCAGCACTAATGCCTTTCACTAATGATGTTCAAAAATTGCATGTATTCTTGGGTCAACAGCAAGATGAGTGGTTCAACACGTTATCGGAACGTCCTTCTACAAAAGCATGGATTGAGTTAGCCAAGGTGTGTCTTGCCCAGATGATTCTCTTCAACCGGCGCAGAGAAGGCGAAGTATCATCTATGCCTTTGACTGCATTTTTGTCCAGAGACACTTCAGATCCACATAATGATGTTGACTGGGCTCTTTCAGAAGTGGAGAAAAAACTTTGCAGACACTTCACCAGGATCATTACCAGGGGCAAGCGTGGCCGGCCTGTTCCAATTCTTTTGACTCCAAAAATTCTCAATGCTTTAGATCTCCTTGTTAACCGAAGAGAGGACTGCAGTGTTTTAAAAGACAATATATACCTGTTTGCTAGACCAGACGCAATGTCCCACTTGAGAGGGTCAGACTGCCTTCGTGCATTTTCGAGACTGTGTGGTGCTAAGTGTCCAGAAGCTCTAACATCGACAAAGCTGAGAAAGCATGCTGCGACCCTCTCTACTGTACTGAATATGACGGACACAGAGATGGACCAACTCGCAAATTTTCTTGGACATGATATAAGGATCCATCGTGAGTTTTATAGACTCCCTGAAAAGACCTTGCAGCTGGCGAAAATAAGCAAAGTGCTAATGGCTCTTGAACAAGGAAGAATGTCACAATTCCAAGGGAAAAACCTGGATGAGATTAGAATTGAACCTGATGGTATGTTGTTTTATTGTCTAACTGTATAGCATGTTTACAAGCAATTGTGTTGATGTACTTTGAACTTCCACAGAAAAAGTTGACTGTGAGGAGGAAAATGAGACGGAAGAGGGACACAGTTTATTAACTGCTCATGGTATGTTTTACTATTACATGTTTTATTTATATATTTAATACAATAAAAATGTGGGTTTCATAAGAAAAGTTGTAATCTACTATGAAAATGTGCTTTAAACTTTGCACAGAAAACATTGACTCTGAGCAAGAAGATGGGGATAAAGATGGACGTCGTTTTCCGGCTATTGATGGTTTGTATCACTGCTAAACAACTTTTTAATATTTATATTTCAATATATATGACTGTAAAAGTGTGGGCTTATATGGAAATGTTTGTGACACATAATTTATGTATTGATTAGTTTTTAATGGTACTCTTGAACCTTCAAAATATTTGAACTAATGATTTTCATTATTTTTCACAGAACCAGCTGGAATGGTTGCACTTGCTTCTGCCGGACACACTCCACCACCACCTAAGAAACGAAAACCGTCAGAAAAGATGTCTTCAGTTGGCAGTACTTTGTCTTCTGGCAAAGGTGAACTCTTTGCTCTTCTTTTTATGTCTGCTACTGATCATACCATCAAACAGAAAAAGCAACACTATGAAATAGTTTGTGTAAAATTGTGTGTGCGTGTGGATGGGATCCTACCTGTGTATGTACCAATACAGATAGGATGATTTATAAACACTGAATGTACTCTAAAGCATGTCTTTTTTTGTGACCACTCAAAGGCAAAAACCAGAAGAAATGTCCTTGGCAGCCAACTGAGGTACAGGCAGTTGAAAAGCACCTGAAGCGCTTCATCACATCACGTATTGTACCTACAAAGAGCGACTGCGAAAAATGTTTGAAAGCAGAACCAGAAGCACTAATCAACCGTGACTGGAAAAGCATTAAATTTTATGTTTATAACCGTAGTGTAGCACTCCGTAAGAAACAGTAGCTCTGCTAAGACAGAGAGCATAAATGGGAAGTTGGGTGGCGGGGCTAAGGGACAGAATTGTTGTTGAATCAGAAAGATTAATCTTGAATAAGTAGAGTAAGTTGTTAAATTTGTCCGTACGATGTTTACAGAATTTGTTATCCTCTTCAGGGTGAAATTGTTTGTGTGAGATGTTTAATACAGCCCTTTATAATGGCATTTGATATTCCAAAATAGTTTAATAATCAAGTGCTTCCAAATTGTCAAAGAAAAGGAAAATACTTGATTTGTTTTTGTTCCTTTTGAATAAGTGAAGCAAAATGTGTTTCAGTCAAGAAATAAGCTGTTCACAAGCCTTACAACAAAATATATAAAATTTGTTAATAAAGGCACGTTTACAAAGACAGTCTGTGGATTATTTGGCCTTAATAATGTAGTCATTTGTTTTAAGAAAGGTCCCCATGAGTAAAATAAAAAAATGTGTGAGTTATGCAAATGTTATGCAAATCTGGTCCTTCTAAGTGACATTGACTCGTTTTGTTATAGGTCCCCACAATACACTGTCAGAATATTGTTTCAACAATTGAGACATTTTAAGATGTGTATAAGCTTACAATGTGATGTTAAGTATCTCAATTTTTTTGTGTGACTCTAGACCCTCTGGAAAGGGTGGTCCCCGCAAGTGATAATTTGAAACCTGGTCCCCATCAAGAATGGAAACCTGTGTGTGTGTGTGTGTGTGTGTGTGTGTGTGTGTGTGTGTAAGAGAGAAACGGAAGAGCACATATATCAGAGAGGAGCAGGATGGGAGATAGAAGGTTTTTAAGGTAACAGACGGTCTGAAGGCCTCCAAAGTTTGATAACAGTTTGCTGGGAGCATTTAGAGGGAATAGGATTTCTCTCGGCTCCATTTAAGCAGATTTATGCTCCAGAATCAAGAGTAACATCGGGGAACAACCAGCCGAGGCCTGGATATTGGGCTGAATGTTTGGGTATCTACAATGGAGGTTTGGGAGTTGTACATTGCATTTATTAGAATAATAAATGCTATATACGAAATATAAATATATACTCTTCTTGGCAATAGGTCACTTATTAAGGTCAGATTATTTTATTACTATTTAGGTACATTTTATCTCCCTTGTCACCCTCTCTGGTCTCTCTCTCTCTGGTTTCTCTTTCTGGTCTCTTTGTTCTCTCTCTCTGGTCTCTATCTCTCTGGTCTCTCTCCCTCTGGTCTCTCTCTCTCTCTCTGGTCTCTCTCTGGTCTCTCTCTGGTCCCTCTCTCACTCTTTGGTCACGACGGTGCAACGCCCGAGGACCCTGCTCCACATGTTGATGCTTGGTTTTGTTAGGACAAAACTAGAGGATAATTGAATATTAATCCTGACTGTCCCTTATTGAATTTAAAATTGCATAATGTTCGTGTTGGTCCAGGATTTAGCAAATATCACCTTCACTGCTGTCCCTGTGAGTCCACGGTCGGGCTTTGATCCCTGCACCCCTCTGCCCTGACTACAAATTAGGCTCATCCAAAGACATCACATTTTCTCACTATATGAAGACTGTAGTTTAAGTCCTAAATACAAAGGAATCCCTGGGAGCTTGTGGTTATCGGATGTGAAATCCTTAAGGAAAATTGGAGATTGAGGTTGACACATAAGGTCACAGTTGAAATGCATATGTTTTAGTGATCGACCATGAGGCTTCCATGGTTCAAAGTGATTCTGCTTCAGTCGTGGTTATGCATGAAGAAACAATGCATTGAAACAACGTTATTTGCATGACTAAGCCCTAACAATTTGGTGACAGTAGCTCAGTTGGTAGAGCATCGGCCTTCAAGACTGGAGATTGAGGGTTTGAGCCTGCGAGCCTTAACCCCTTTGCCTGAAGCCCCTGCAGAAAGATCAAGGCTCCTGTGGATCATCACCTGCAGGAGCATCAGTGAGGGGCTGGTGCTATGTTTACTGGGTGCAGCTCTGACTCCCACCCCCCGACCCAGAAGGGGAAGAAAATGGATGGCTGGATGGAACCCTAACATTTCAATCTTATTTTAAATTATACATTGATTTAATACAGACATGTACCAGTCACTTTCTGCACTTGGTGGAGAACACATTATACTTTCAAGTACTAACCAGACGCAGTCTTGCTGAGCTTTAACCTTGCCTGCAAGCTGAATTCTCGCGGTATTTGTGAGTTCACAAACACTCGAGAATACATCTTGCCCCGCTCCCGCCAACCCTTTTCGAGCAGAACATCTAGGTGTTCAAGCCAATCACGCGCCAGTCTGGGGGTTTAGGGCGGGATATCCGGGTTTGACGAAAGCAAGAAGTGCCGGGCCGAAGCAAAACAAACATGTCTACGCAGGAGGACGGACGCGTAGCTGAGGCTATCAAGTCAGTTTTAGCAGAATCTCCCATTTCTTTTTTGAAAGATGAACAGCGAGAGGCGCTTTGTGCATTTCTGGACGGCAAAGATGTTTGTGCATTTTTACCTACGCCGATGACGACATAATGTTACCGGGATTGGTTTAAGTCAAACCTTGGTAGGCGGGCACACAGCGTCACTTCAGCTTGAAGTATTCTGCTGCTTATCCCTCCTTTCCCCGAAAGGATTCTCCTGAAGAAGTCCCAGATTGATATTGTGGAGAACGCATTAGAGTTCTACAGGTTAGCTTAGCTTGTGAGCCTATGAGAAATAGGACAGCACGATTATATTATTATTATACAATGTATATTATACAACATGCATATACATTATTGTGTTAGGGAAGACCAGGGATGGACAGTAGATTTCATCTCTGGCCTCTCTCTCTCTCTGGTCTTTCCCACTGGTCTCTCCCACTTTAGTCTCTCTCTGGTCTCTCTCTCTCTCTGGTTCGACTTTTGGTTGGAAGGTCAATATTTGCATCATTTGGTGTAATGACAAAAATAGATTGGTTTAAAACAACAATTAATGTATTGATTGTTTTAACCAAAAGAACAACCAAAAAAACAAGAACATTTTAACCCATGTGTGTTTGAAGTGTGGCCCATCCACCTTTGGGCTAAAGCATTTCTTTACACCACAGTCCATTGGGAATTGTTTGGTGTTGATCAGAATCAAAAGCTCATGACTTGAAGCCTCTGTCCTTATCGTCTGCTAAAGATTTCATTCATCCAAATCTCACAGGCACAATTTCACGGCTGAGAAGGTGTTGCGTCTCTAATTTGACACAGATTTTCCTCTGCAGCTGTTGTTGCCTTGAGTGCCGTTTTCCGTGTTTATCTTTAAGACTAAATAAGACGTATCAAAGCAGTGAAACTAAAATGAACTGCGAGGCTTGAAGGAAAGTTTAGATGTAGACAACAGTGTGAACTTTGAGATAATAGACTGATTAGAATTATACTTTATGTTTGCGTTATCTTGAGCACTTTCCTCTCCTCTTCCAACTGTATCTTCTATTATTACGTCTGTTATGGCGTGATGAGGGGATCCCTGAACACGGCCTCGTCCATCTGCACTGGACTGCCCTCCCCGGCTTGGACTTGAAGGGCTGCACCCCCATGCCACCTGGGAGCTGCCTTAGTCCTGCATCGTGTGGCCTCGGTCCTCATCCTTCAGCCTAAGTAAGTAAGTAATCTTTATTTATGTAGCGCCTTTTACAGACCAGGGTCATATGTGGGCATTTATGTGTCACTTCACACAGAGATGGAAGCGAGGTCGCAATACAGGAGGCGCATGCTAGGACTATTGTGCATATTTTTAGTGGTAGGGGAAACCGGAGCACTCGGAGAAAAAGAGAGCAGCCTGGGGGAAACCTACGCAGACACGGGGAGGACATACAAACTCCTCTCCATAAATATATAGATACAGTCCATGACAATTACAGTACATCTTCTCTGGGTTTTTCCCGGTGTTCTGTCGAGTTGGTCTGCCGGTCGAGATGATCTGGCTCAGCTGTTAATGATGTAATGCAAACCTGCGCATGTGCGTCTCACGGCAGCCGAAGCAATCCAAGATGGCGGACATGTAGTCAGCGAATTGCTTTAAGTTAAATACAAACGAATTAAGACACAAATCAGTCCACTGCTGCTGTGTGATCGCAGTCCCTGAGTGGACTGCTGCATACGTCATTTTACTGAAGTAGGCCCATGACGCGTCCTGTGACTGGTCTGTTGGTTGATAATGGAAATAATATATTAAATTTTATGCATGTATCATACTGTATTTAATATGATTAACAATAGTGTGTTCAAACGAAATATTTCATTAGATCGAGTTTTTTCCCCATTCTGGCGGGTTTCTGCGCATGCACAAGTCAGATTTGGGCACACAAGCAGTGTAGTTTCACAGGATCAGTGGACTGCTTAAAACAAACTTTACACGAAACTCTTAAAACCCACATATCACAACGCGGAACCATCAACATCTCGCCTCAAATTGCATTAAAAGTGACATTTGTGTCTTAATTCGTTCGTATTTAACTTTAAAGCAATCCGCGGACTACATGTCTGCCATCATGGTTTGCTTTGGCTGCCTTGGGACACGCAGCGCTGGTTTGCATTACATCATTAACAGCTGAGCCAGATCATCTCGACGGGCAGACCAACTCGACAGAACACCGGCTCAGCTACACCACAGGGGCCAATGTTGCAAATCTGCAACATCCCAGAATACATTGCCTGGTATATATAGATTATATATTACTACCCCATAAGATAATTTCCCCCAAGAATCACATTTTTCCTGACCCTGAGAAGGTTAAAATGTAATGTATTTCATGTGATCAGTTTTAAATTATATTAATATTTTGAAATAGACAACACTGGTAAAAGTAAAATCAGGATTATTATATGTAGCACTTTTTTTCATACTTTAATTAATTGAAAAACAACATTCATAGTTTTTCCTAATCGGTGAGAATGTGTATTCAAATGTGTCTCGCCTGTAGTCCTGCTGAGCTGCCATATTCACCAGTGTATTTCTGGATGAAAACAAAACGCGCGCTAAAGGTGTCCATCCATCCAATTTTTCCCCTTATTCCGTTTCTGGGTCGACAGGGGCTGGCAGTTGGAGCTGCACCCAGTACATAGAGCACCAGCCCCTCACTGATCCTCCTGCAGGTGGCGAGTCCACACGAGGACAGCCTTGATCTTTCACCGGCAAAGTGGGGTTAAGTGTCTTGCCCAAGGACGCAACGACAGCAGACATCAGTGGGAGTCGGTGGAGAAGGTTATGAGGTGGGCTCGATAATAATGAGAAAATTAGGATAAAGAAAGTCAAACCAGAACGAGGCAATTTGGGGATGAGATATACTACTACAAAACTTTGGCTGCAGAAAATGATATTGTTATTAGCTCGTATGTATTTGTTGTCTAAGTAATAAAATAATAAAGAAAAGAGAATGTGGAAAAAAAAATCAATAAAAAAAATACAAATTGTGTGATTACAAATTACAAATTGTGTGAAAACACGCAAGACGTAACTATTCAAAAGATTCCAGTCTCAAGTGAGGATGGGGCTGCTGGAGGAGCGGCCATGACACGTTTTTTTATTTTTTATTTTTGCGACAAACATGTTGGCTACCTCAGCTTTCACAAATACATTCATATGTCCACATCGACAGCATATCGTTGCATTCCCTCAGTTTGAACTGTTTTTCTTAACTGTGTTGACAGCTTTGTAATGTCGTCCAAGGTACAGTAACTACAATCGTGATTTAGAGCACACAAAAAATACATCAAATCCAAATTAATAAAATTGTATGCAATGAAGCTAAATGGAAAAATGTACTCTTGTTATGTTTGTGCCATTTCTCTTTTGCCGCTGGGCATGAGAGAGAGCAGCGAAAGAGCAGCGAATGAATAGTGGTGTTAGTCTTTTTGTGTGTGGTCTGAGTTTGTTAGAAGCACTGACCCCTCACATGGGTCACCCGCACACCCCCCACATGGGTCACCCGCACACATGGGTCAGCAGCTCGAACATCACTTCTCTGCTAAACCCGCATTGGTCAAGGCTAAAAATGCAACAACATTTATTTTGATAGATAGCAAAGCCAAGTGAAGAAGTGCCTTCACATGTTTCTCCTTTAGGGTTTTACTGAAATAGCAACCGGAATTCAATAATGCAAATGTTGTGACATGATTGGATTCCTTTAAAAGTGTGTTGCATTTATTATATGTTCCACCTTAGACACATGCATACACAAAAAAAGGCAGGGAAAAGAGAGTGTGGGTGGATGCATTCAACTAATACAAAGCTTGTGCACACACACACACACACATACAGATACACGCACGCACGCACGCACACACGTAAATGCCCACAATGTTGTTTGTTATTCTCAAAGTAGCAGTTTGTGAAAATCTGACCAAATGTGGTACTGCAACCTCTCCCACTCTCCCTGACTCAGGTTGCCAGATATGCAGATGAATCCAGCCGGGACCATAATATCTGAATATACAAGAGTTTTGTCTACAACAAATCTATAGCCAACACCTTTTTCACAAAGGCCCCAATCAATTTTTTTA